ACTTCTATACAAGTGCAACGAGTTCCTTATAATTCCTAATAGTTCCTCTTAATTAGCAGAGTAGTTGAACTGGGTAAAGGTATACATGGTATGAGAAATATCTCAGACATTTTTCTGCCTTCTTTGTATAGTTGTAGGCTGCATAAAATGTGTACCTCTTGGAATGCAAAGTGGAGTTATTTCCAATTCCAGCATCACTGCCAGTGATACCTGGTCATTGGCATATCCATATTGCGCAAGATTACACAGACAACCAGGCAATGTCGATTTTGGATACTGGGCACCGAGGGCACCTATGAAGGTCGGGCATTGGGTGCAAGTGTACTTAGGCCTCAAGGAAGCTACRATTACTGGAGTTGGTACTCAAGGCGCGCCTGATCGTGAACAGTGGACAACAAGCTATAGTCTTGAGTACAAGGGACGCAGCGGTAGTRGTTTTAAGAAATATCAAAACGGGAAGGTTTTTCCTGGAAACACCGACAAAGACACCGTTGTAAAGAATGCCCTCGACCCTGCCATCAAAGCCATGTACTTCAGAATTCTTCCTCTCTCTTGGAAGGAAAAGATTGTACTGAGAATGGAACTGTATGGATGTTATGACTGAAGGTATTTTTTGTCGGTCTTTTTATTATTTTTTAGTTTTAAAAGCAATAATTTATAAAGGTTAGCACAGAATAAGATTAAGTTAGAGTAAGTTGAAAAAGTTTTAGCACTATCTAGTGCTGTTTCGTTAGAGTATACTGTTCGGCGTTTGTTGTGTTTGTACTTCATTCTACTTGACAGTGTAGTGTGATTCAGGTGACAAGAATAAGCCGGAATACTGTAAATTTAAGCTCAGTAGATGCGCGCATGTTTATAATGCATGTGAGAAAGCAAACCTGAACTGATTCTTATGTTATGGTAAGCGTGACTTGCAAGCACTCACTATGTGATATTCTTTCTTTTAAGAAACTGATGGGCGAAAGTTTCATTCAAGGCAGAAAARAGAGCTGTTGATCTTATTATTCACTTTGAGGAATGAAGTATGAAAATAATCAATTAAAAACAAATAAAACCTGAAAAGGGCTGTATGAATTTGCGCAACGCATGTGTTTGATCAATTAATGCGCGCACGCAAGCGATTCTGAAAATGAGGAACTACAAACGCTGGAAGTATAACAAGACTTTAAACAATTGTGAACCGAAACTCCCAAGCTGATGAAGCTGACTGAAAAGACACTGATTATCGCAATAAAAATTCTCTATGTTCATAATGATTAAATACTGTCTGATGAGTGCGTAGCACGAAACTCGGAGTTACAGCAAAATCTTGCCTCTTTGATATCATATATATGTTCATAATGATAAACGTTGCATTTATTTTTATGCTTACATTTTAAATTTAGCATTTTCTGAAAAGCAATCTGAAACTGAAACAAAACAACAGCAAAGCAAAAAAAAAATTTATAATAATAATAAATAAAAACTGGGACAAAATATGGAAAATGAATAAATAAATTCCCTGTAGTAGATTATCTGGGATCCCTGTGGTAGTCTGTGGCGGGAAATTATTAACCCGGCGGTCAGTTCGTGCAGKTTTGTGGCCTGGCACTTCTGCTGCTCGACGAAGAGTTAACTGGAATTTTCAGAAAACGTTTTCGCACAAGAGTCGTCCTTTTTCTCAAGGTAAGTCAGCTAGTACACTAGATTGTATTAGTAAAAGTAGTATTTAGCGTTTTAAGGGGGAAACTCTATTTTCAGAACGTCATAAAATTCGATCGAGATCTGCAACTCGTTTGAGATGCTTTGAGGTGCATTCACCAAGAAAGACATYGAGTTTTGGGAATATTTGGTTGATAATATAAAAAGTATTTTATAACCTTTATTCTGAGCGCTTTGAATCAGCTCTTCAAAAGAGTTTCCCAGCGTATTTTGAACTATGTCACTTGATAGATTAACTTTTTGTATGTGAGTGAGGTCATCTTGCAAGGTGTGAGAGAATATGTAGCTTCGATTGTCAGGGAAGGGCAAAAATATCATATAAATGAATTCTCTCCTCGTAACGACAGTCAAAATGGCTTTGCGACTTTGTGAAGTGTTTCCAAAACAAGGGCCGTCAAATAAGCCGATCACGTGACATTTCGAATCGTCTCACGCACTTGTGTGCAGCACGCACGGAGCCTCGCGCACCTTCTCGACGCTGAAGGCAAAGCATTTTTTCGGTAATCAACCAAAGCTTCTYCACAATCAAGTGACAGGGTGTATTAAAGAGCTGCGTAAGTTCAATGTCTGCACTTTGTGAAAAGACGGTTGACTACTTCTTTTAATTAAGGAGAGCAGGGCCAAGGTAATGCTGGCTGTCAGAATGACTATTTTCCCTACTGCTCCGTTAATTGTAATTGATCTTGAAAAGAGTTTAAGTTGACTTTGATTAAGTACATCACAAACAGAATCATGTTTTTACAACCTCTTTAATTCTTAAGTCTTCATTTTTCTGTACAATAAATCAAAGGACTACTTCTAACTTTTAATTAAAGAAAAAAGGACTTATATAATTTCTTAKAATGAAGTTTAATTTCAACGAAACTGTCAATTCGCAAACTTGAAAGACTGGACAGCTTTCTTTATTTCTATGACTTTAAGAACACTAGGTACTTTCATCATGATTGAAATGTTATTCTCAAGAGGTSGATTTTGAGCCCCTGGTTTGATTGTCATTAATAAGAATAGCACTTTTCATCCTGTGAGGAAGAGCTTTCAATCGCCTTTGTCAAAATCAATGTCTTTCTCTTGTTCTTTCAATTTGACTTGTGGCTCAAGAGTTCTAAAGTACAACTRTCAAAACCTTGTCTTGTCCCTATAAAGTCATCACTCATGGTTCAAAACCTCATCTTTTGTGCCAGTGCAGCTTTACAAAAAAAAAACTGGTCATTAAAACAGATGGAATATTTCAAAGATATACGTAATATAACAGGGACCGCGGAGCGTGAATTTGTTTGGGGGGGCTAGCAGCGAGGAGGTACTAGGGGGGTTCAAAAATTTTTGAAATCTTACACTATCGGAAATGTCATTTCCAGCGTTTTGAGGCGTTATTCAAAGACATATTTTTGTCGTACACATGGTCAGCGATATTATCAATAAATCCTAAAGACTTCGCTAAAAAGCTTCAATTTTAATTGTTCACGCTCAGTTTTTACACAATTAAGGTTAGAAATAAGGTTAGATTCCTAACCTTATTTCATAAGGAGGTTCTTCGCTTCTTTATTTAAGAAAATACAAAATGTCGGAAAAATTATTGGGGGGGCTGTAGCCCCCAAGCCCCCCCTGCTCCGCGGTCCATGTATAAGGGAGAGAAATTGAATCAAAAGAAAGAAGAACAATTTCAAGACAGAAAGAATGTGAAACTTAGAAGAGAAATACACAGAGAGGGTATAGTCATGTAAACTCTCTAGTTCCAAACAGACTTTACTCAAATTACCCCTACAAACTACTTACCCTCATGGACATTACAACCCATCAAAATAACACCCCTTGTTCCAGCTCACTTAAAAAAAAACACCAAAACCATTGTTCTAAGAAAAAATTCACTCCTTAAATCACTGCTTACAACTAGATAAACACCACACACCTCAACCCTGAACCACTGAAAGACTTATGTTAGTATAACAACATCACAACCCACAACCAAATCCTTTCCTTTACTAATACCACATTCCATTACTCTTGGCCTTCCCACCACTTGTAATAACACATACATGTAACACTCTGACATGTCCATCTTCTTAAATCCTTCTCCTCCAAACAAAGTGTACAACAGCTACATCCCTTGCTTCTATAAATTGAACACACAACACACAATATAACATATTTCTACATACAAACTACCAGTAACCATCACACCTTTTATATCTATACAATAAACTGCAAACACTTAACCGCTTTAAACACCTCTGCCAAAAGTATCAAGCATGACACCCTATTTGACCTATAGCAACTCCACAATTGCAGTTCAATCAAGACCTCCCTAACCTCTAACCCCCTCACATCCATAAGCACCCCACCCTTCAGCTGTTGAAATAGCAAATGAAAAGAACCTTCTGCAACTAGACCTACACTAACATTGCTAGCTACACCTGTAAAAAAGCCCCTTGCCTCTTTAAAGTCCACACCCTTAAGATGTCAGAAAGCCACACCCTATATGAACCCCTCAAAAGCCTCTGCAAATCTTTACTTTTCTCTTCAAGTATCACACTTCTGATTACTTTTTAATTAAAAGTACTACCATGACTCTCTCAACCCAACAAAAACTACACACATCACCCCTCTAAGCACCATTGTCTCAAAAAAAGGTTCCCTTCATTTTTTTCTAGTTTTTTTTTCATCTTAACTATTTTTTGTTATCCTGTGTGATTACTTATGTGATTGCTTTTAATGCCATGACTCCTTGACCCCAAACACCCCCCCCCCTCGAAAAAAAAAAAAAAAAAAAAAAAAAAAAAAAAAAAAAAAAAAAAAAAAAAAACAGCATCATCCCTCTAAGCACCATTGCCTCAAAAAGGGTCCCTTCATTTTTTTTACGGCAGTTTTCTTTCATCTTGACTATTTTTTGTTATCCTAAATTAGCAAGTCATTCGGTCCATTGGCGTTTATTCAACCTCAGTAACCTTCTTTCGACACTAACCRCATTTTCAAGTATTTTTGTTTTTCTTCTCTCCGTTTATTCGTATTAACATGTGCTTTATTATTATTTGAGAAAACAAGAACAGTTTTCTCCGTTGTGGGTCTCTATGTCTGCAGGCGATACGTCCTTAATTGGTAGTGCTATGTATCTATTATTTTTGGACAGGCTATGAAATGATTTTTCACCGTAACTCTAATTAAACATTTTCTCTCTAAGTAGAGCTAATAATTATAATGTGTTTTTCTACAATAAGAGAATTTAAGGATACTGAAAGGAAATAAAGGCAAAACGAAATCTAAATCTGTATGTTGAGAAGAGCCTTTTGTGTATTTAGATCTTAAAAGATACATTTTTGGCTCAGTTGTGCTGATCTGGTTTTGGTAAAACTTCTGAAGCCTGTTATTACGATAAAATAATCTTTCTTCCGTGATTACGGATTTGCTTTATCTAGCATTCTGATTAGATTTTGTTTTTCGTTTGTTTTATTTCTATTTTTCGTTCATTTTTACTTCACATCTGATCACGTAGTTTTTCTCTTCAATCGCTTCTTTTTTCCTCCGTTTATATTCAGTCTCCGTTTAATATTTAGTTCTTATCTTTCCTTCCATCCTCAGTTTTGGTCCTAAGCTTTTGTCTCTGTCGTTTCTCATTTCTATTTTTCAATATCAGCTTTCATTTACTATTTTATTTATAATTATTTTCTTTCGACTTTTTCCCATTTCCCATTCCTATTTTTTCGTTTTTTAACKTTATTTCTTTCTTCCCTTTCTTGTTTGGMATTCATTGTTTCGCTCCTTGTTTTCTTACCTTCAAGTCTTAAGTTTCATTGTATCATTCATATAACAGGCAACCGCACGTCATAGTTCTCCTAGAACGATTGTGATCAATATCTGAATGTTTTTATTAGACATAATCCGTCGAGAGATTCATTTCATCTCATCATTTAGCTTCTAGGAACACCTTTCAATCCATATTTATCGTGAATTTGCGCGCTTTTAGCGAAGTGGACACTGCTSTATAGGGGCAGATGTTCTCTGGAAGTCAAATGCTTATGTTATCAACCGCTGTTTGTAAGCTTCTGTTTAAAAACGATATTTAAACAACTGCTCATCTTTTCTTATATTCATAATCCCTCAGTTTAAGACATCAGCTCAAAAGTCGAAAAGTTGGATTAGAGAGTCAGACGATTCTATCTAAAATAAATGGTATCTACTTCATCAAAGTATTTTCGCATTGTGCAGCTGAATTTACGAACCCGCGTCGATACGCGTATATATATACATATTTTTCTTCGTTTTCAAAAATAGTCTATTTTTGGTCAAAAGGACGGTTAATTGGACTCTACCAAAAGGCAAGAAGATGTTGAAATTCTTTCATTAGAGTTGGTGTGGAGTGTACATCGTGATTGTGTGGGTTGATGTGTAGGAAATAAGGRTTTTGAAATATGAGAAGTGCAATTCTTAAAGTTAATGTGCCTTGCTGTTAAACTGTTGTGTATAGTTAGTATCTGGTTTTATACTCAGAAGAGTTACACCCGTTTTATGGTGTATAATAAGAAAACCCAAGTGCCCCGAGTTTTTTAAGTGAATCTGTTCAGTCAAAAATAACGTCATTTTGTAGACCCTTTCTTTATTTCCTTTGAATATTTACTTAGTCGTCATGTGTACAAAATGGGCTACTGCATTAGCTTTCATCTGCTTGGCTGAGTTTAAATACACAATTTGATTTCCTTGCAAATAACTCRAGTAATTGAAAATGTGGATAGAAACCGTAAAAGACCTTTTAAAACAGATTATGATAAAAAGTCTATTTTCGCGTGCCGGATGCAGCATTGAATCAAGATGCGACATGTAGACATTGCTCAAGGAAAAACAATTAAAAGAGAAGTTCTACAGGAACTTGATTAAACAATTTTAGTCATCGAAAAACACACTCAAATCGTCCATTAGTTCTTTATTCTTGGATGGATTTTAGTATTGAGCTAGTTAAAAAGCGGGTTAAAACGCTTGAGATGGTATCTGTAACGAATGGGCTCACACTTGATATTGTGAAATTAAGGCCATTTTTCACAAATCGAACTTGAAGACGTCAGAATGATATTGTAAGATTCGCCCGCGCGTTAATTTTCGCTCCGCTTTTGTTCGAATGAATGATTCCAATCCAATTGTGYTATTCAGTGACACAAAAGAGCATAATTCCTCCCTAAACGAATATTGCCAGCAAGTATTTAATTGATTGATGCTCTGTTCCTGTCTCTTATATTACACATTCATGTCGTTCGAAGTTTGTGTGTTGTCATTTATTAAATCGTCGAAACCTGTCTTGCAATCAGTGAACGAAATCACCGCTCCAGGTGAATCGAAACAATTATTGTTCGTGGTTGATGAATATTCGACGGCGCTGTCAGATTGAGCAAATTGACCATAGATACTGCCGTTCAGTTAGGCTATCAAAAAGAGCAGCTCATGTTTGTTTTAAAATCGTGTTTACTCTGGTGTTGATTTCAATGAGCTCCGATTGACTTGATGTTCTTTGTGCGCTAGAGGGGAATTCCACTGTATTTGCCAGAACGATTAGATGAATATGCGTTTATTATCCGACACTGTTTCGGAAATTACTTCCAAAAAGAGGAAAAAGCCAGCCGGGTTTAAGCTTTTAGAGTAGGGATCGTGTTTGGGATGTTGTGYTCTAGTACTTAGTGATGGCCCTCAACYACAACATAATGGCAGCCAGAAGATCCTATCGTATCTATCACACAGTTTTCCGATTCGTAAAGTTGGTGATTTCAAACATCCCAAATGTTCAATTGATTTTTATCTCGATGCAGATGGCAATTCATTGTTTTCCTACCTGAGCGTCATTATTCATTTCAAAACAATTGGATTCTCTTCACAAAAAATAWACGATAACATTTCTCATTAGCCCACTAACTCATACTTGATAACTAGATTCAAAATGCGAAAAAACCAGTAAGAGTATCTGGGTAAAATACGAGTGTTTTTTTCCTCAAAGGGAAGCTCGGGGATTAATCGATGCGAGCTTTTAGAGCCCTTATAATAAGGAATTATGTTCATTTCCTTCCAATGTTGCTGACTGTTAGGCAAACCTTTTAGGACCTCCGAATACGCGTCTTAAATTAAAACTTTGTTTTAATTGTTTTGTTCTGGTGAAACATGTGATGATCGCTGTAGTCTAAATAAATCGCTCGAAATCGCATGCCTAGATTCATACATGATCGATGAAATGGATTATCTTAAGTTTGTATTGTCATAATGTCCGGCGGGTCTTCTGTAAAGTTTCTTGTAGGCTTGAGATGTCTAGGGCACGAGTATTCAAAGTGCGGTGATCTTAAAGCGTTGTAAAAGGACTGGGGTTATGTATAATTACCGGTCATATATAAGACGGAAGTTTCATCAATAACTATGTAGCTGTGATAGAAACAATAAGAATATAATTCAAACGGACAAGAGGGAAAATTGATTCTCGGCATGAGATACAAAAAAGATAAACTTTATGTCTCTTTATGCATGCCTACTGAAATTTACGCACCGGTGTCAGCACGAAATCACATAAGTGGCTTTTGATCTCTTTGGTGAGCGAATATTTGATAGGCCTTTTGCGAGATTTTAGTGTTTTACTTAGAGGATCAAAAGAAACGGGGTTTTAATTTAAACTCACAAAGCCCCCCCGAACAACTGATTCCGAAGGTAGCGACTAATATTCTGTGGGGTCTGAAAACATTTGCCATTCATCTATTGGTGACTTTGTTCATCACATAGTTGAGCCTATTTTCATGCAAATTGAATTGAAATAATTAGGAAATAAATACCATTCAAATGGAACACTGCTTTTGGAATTTCGCTTTATTCAATTATGGAAAATCTCCCTTTTCATGAGAGACAAAGGTCTTAAAGTTTTGTCTATTCAGCTTGGAGCTATATGATTGTGCTTTTCGACTGCTAATTACCTCGTTTTGTACTGTGGAAGTGTATAGAAAGSCGTAAAAATGGATAGATTTCTGCCTCATTTAGACAAAATTTTCATAATGTGATTAACCGCTTAAGGAATAGATAATTTAAAGTTGTTAGTATCGCGATTGAGTTGTTTAGATAGTGGATGCTAAAATAAAAATACCGCTAGAATAAGAAAAGAAAAAAGAAACAGTTGTCAAATCGAATCATTCGTGCGCTTTGGCGTGGGAACACGGGGTGGAATGACACCTGACAGAGCTTAAAATCCGGCGTAATATCGGCATAGTCGAACTGCAAGCTGATGGATAAAACTATGTTGAGCTATTTATCTATCCATTTCGATATAAAAAGAGCCGAATAAATGGAAGGGACAGCTTAAAAGGCGGGTAGATGACAGTCCGTGATCTGTCGCGGCTAAAGTTTGGGAATCCATTTGTGTTCTATCTCAGCGTGTCGCAAACACACCGAACCTACGGGATTAATTCAAGTGATCTTTTATTTGTAGTCTAGAAGCTCAGACCTTGAAATAGTATTTTCACTGGAAAGGGCGGATTTGTGTTATCTTGTAGATCATTTCAGTTCTTTTCTACTTGAGATCATTTGAGACTCGCTTCCATCTCGGTTCTCTATCTTTGTCTAGGTTGTCCTTTTTAGTCATTTTGAGTCACAGTGTAAGATAACTGAATACTTAAAACATATTAACGAAATCAGGTGTCGACGAAAGCTTTTAATTCTCATAAAGCTAGTCATGTCGTAGTTGTTTTCACCTAAGGATTGTTTACGAAATGTCAAGATGTTTTTGAAATCAACACGACGCTTGTTTTTAGTCTTTCTTCATAAATGAGTTGAGATTTTGAGTAAAGGCTTTGGTAGCCCAGCAATCGGTGTGTAGTCGAAAGAATTCCCTCCATCGTAACAATAGACGCACGTGGTCTTATGAGACTTCGATTGAAAGAGCCCGTCGCTTAGGCAAAACACACAACTTGCGCTACAAGAGTGATAAAACTCCGATTCAAATAAGAATATTTAAGTCATATTCAAGTAAATGTCATTACCGACAAGAATACAAGTATTAATGTTTCCTGAACTAGTTTGTCGTTCAGTTTTCACAATGGTGATTTCTTATCTATTTTTTTCCAAATATTTACACCCGAGCACTGGGGATGCAGGAAATGAGAGGAAAGATTATTTTCCCAGGTTTTTAGCTCCGCCTAAAAGAAATTAATATATGAAAAGTAGCAAGAGAGAACCTGGCGGTAGTGAGAAATGATACGCCTAATATCTGTTAGGTAGATGCCAGCTCAATTGGTTAATGCATACAAGGAAAACCTATTTCGGAAAGACTGTATCAAAATCAGAAAGCCAGTATAATGTTAAGGAGTTTTGAGACATTCAAATGATTTTCCGACTGCGGTTGTCATGACAACCCCAAAGGACTAAATAATGTGTTGTTAGTGTTTTTCGTTGATTGCCTGTAAATCATAAATTTGTCAGCGTTGWATATGAAAAGTGTATAAGCTATCATGGCTTTGAACTGTAGCGCTATTTGCACACAACTGATTTCTTCAGCGGYATTGGGTTTTGCTTGGAGCGGTGAAATTCTTCTAAATTGAGACACTTTAAAAAAGGAAACTTTTCTTACGACTTGCCGGAATTATCAATGAGATATGCGCAACAAATAGATCGGTGTTTGCATCGACGGTTTTTGCTGTGGGGGAAGAACACTGATTTTTTCAGTTAACCGTAAAATGCGCAAGGTATTTTGAGSCTTTTAACAAACTAGCTGGCGTCATATGACGAGGGGTTTTTTTCAAGCTGCGAAAGCCCCCAAAAATTTGCGGCAATTTGAATATGCAACAGATAAAACCCTGCCTAGCAACCGATAGTGATCGCATCAGCTGAGCTAACAGGCGCGCAAATCGATCACATAATGTCAGTTTACTCAGAATAAATGCTCTTCACGAATTTGCCTTGTCCGATATTGAAAAAAATTATCCCCTCCGATGGGATTTCAGTCTGAATGTGACGCAGTGACATTGCGCGCTTTAGATAAGACGCAAGAAAGGAGGAAGAATAAATACCAGCTTGGGGTCTGTGAAGTCACACACATGGTGAATTCCATGACCTTGATTGGGAAATCGTTTGGCGGAATTGGCCCTTCTTTTGTAGAGTAGCCAGCCAAAAATGACGTGTTTTACGAAGTTTTTATTGTCACAATGTCGTCTAGTACAATGGACCATGCGTTGAGCCGAAAACAATGCGTTGGACCTGAATAGATTATGAGCATTTAAACGCTTCACAATGTGTAGGGATGAGTGGGAATCTGGTTGAGTAGCACTAGTTTGTTGGCATTTGGTACACTCTCCCCATCAACACCAAAACCCTTTCACTCACAAAAACAAACATCTTTATCGCCAAAAACGGACTATCTACAACGCCTATAACATCCGCTGGGACTTCAACCCCRGCAATTGCCAAAAAATTTACTTTTTCGCAATGAATTTTGCCACATTTTTCAATACTAAAGTTATTTACATAAAAGATGTCAAAGCTGGTGAGTGATTTAAACGTTTTTGACAGTTCGAGTCAAAGCTGACTTCAACTTTCTCCAACTGTGTTTGGATGTATTCGTCGCTACCTTTGTTTTAGTAAACTATTCACATATTGGATGTACTCATTTCGTCGGTCCACCTCAAAGTTAAATTGGTTTTTAACCGAATTAAAGTATAATCAGTTCTGATCATGCTGTGATTCTGAAAAACTAAGGGGTTGTGTACCTATTCTATTGTCTTYTACACACGTTACTTCGCATTTATCGGGGAATTTCTGCCAAAGCCGCGGCATCCTTAGTATTGCAATGTGTTTGAGTTTTTTGGTCAGGTAGCAGGTCTCTTGCTCTTTGTTTCTCGGGTCACTAAGCTCTTATGTCAGTAGTTTTCGGTAGGCGATCGCGAAAAACATATATAGGACTCTTTCTTCCATTCCAATTGAAAATAGACTATCGGAATCATGGTTATCTTACAAAACCCTGCAGCATTTCTAAGCGTCAATGGTAATGAATACAATTGAATAACTTATGGCAGTGAAAGATTTTTCCGAGGACAAGTTTTCACCTAAGCAACCAAACATCTAGCAATTATACTTTCKTTTTTGTGGAGAAATTCCGTTGGGACTTTTTTGGCAACGTTGAATTGAATAATTAAAGGGAGCAAATAACGCAGGCTGTAGCGGGCTAACGCGCGCCAAAGGGCCGCATTCCATGCAAACAAACTTGGTCGAACAGGGAAAACTAAATGGGGAATAATTCCGATTGACAGAATGAGTGATGACCGTGAGTTACGGCAAGCAACTGTGATGTGTTTTTAAGCCCTTTTAGCGGCACAACGACCAATAATTTAGACTCCTAAATAGGGTTTCAATCCTTAACCAATAAAATGTTCCGTTTTGCTTGGAGTTTAGCGGTTTTAGAGCCGTAAATTTTGGCTGCTTTGGGTAATTGATATTTAGAGCTTAGGTTTTAATAAAGAATGTGCCAGAATGCTCTCATTTGAAGTCACAGCGTTTTCATTCATGAGAATGAGAATCAAGAGAGGTAAATAAATTGTCGACACAAGGATGTTGGATGTGAGAAATCCGGCTGTTAGAACGATAGCGCTCAACGATTTCACCAATCTTCTGTTTGATCTTAAGCGGAAAGAACACTTCATCTGATCGAAAAAATGTGGTTTTAAAATACTCCGGTAAAAGTGGCTATTCACGGTTACCCGCGATAGACTACTAAGCCACATTCCTACATGACTTAGTATATCTTACCCTAAACACGTCGCCAGCAAACCTTGGATGCTTTGGCAACGGGCGAACTTGTCACCAAGAATTTCTTTTCGGCGCCTAAATGGAGAAAATTGCAATAAATAGTGCAAATGTTTCTGSCATTTGAAATCTCAAGAATTATTACTAGCTTTGTCTTGAATTTTAATTTCTTGGATATTCGATTAATGGTCCTTTTTCCTAGTATTTTAAGGGATTATCCCCTGGGGACTTAAAAAGACCCGAGCGACGAAAATTTGTCAAAATTACACGAGAGAACAAGATTCGAGCTTGCGATTATATTACGGTGAGATAAATTTAATACCTATATAGAAATGATCGAGAGTTAAAAACATGCAAAATCCGATACATCGATTGTGGAGATATCCGCAGTGTTTAGGCTTTTTCTCCGCACATGATTTCTAGCTTCTATAGTGGTCTCTTTATTAGTTGATTTCTCTCTGATTTTATCGCGGTGTAAARAAATGAAGTCTTGCATTCTAGATTATCTAATTCAAATTGAATTGCGCTCGAAAACGGCTGTAACTATACTTTGGAAACTCTAAATGAGCAACAATAGCAAATATGAGAAAATCATTCTTCCGTTTTGATTGTTTATGTGGTAGTTGAATGGAAGTTTGGACCGATCTAAAATCCGCTACCGTACAATGTAAGCAAATTAACATACAAGGATAGCACAAAAACACACTCAATCGACCAGCTGCGGCCTTCTCAACAAACAAACCAGAAAAAAACACACACTACTGCTCACAAAACAACTTTCAATTTAAACAGTAAAATTTACACAATTTTTGACGATTTGGTAGCACAAGCTTTAATGAATTTCGAGACGAAGTATTCCGAGTTTTAACATCTTATGTGAAAGAATTTGAAACAACGACTGTTCTGAAATTTTAACTTTATACAAAAACAAGTCTGTTTATATAGAACTATACCTAGCGATAAAATTTGAATCTGAATGTTTCAGCTTTTTGTAAATAAAGTATACTTCACAATCTGTATCCCGCAACATTCGTATTATATACAAAGATATGTACAAAATATATATTCATATATATAGAAATGTCCTGTGTTCATTTGAAAATAGTTTGTTATCCCTGTCTTACTGGCACCTGAAGAACAATCACTTGGCGATTTTCTGGTGGATGGCATTTGTTGATATGCCTTGTAAGTCCAGGCGAGCTGTAGAAAGTGCTAGAGCATTGTTTACACGAGTAAATCTCCCCGGTATGTATACGAGAATGACGATCAAGTCCTCCCTTGTTTGCGAAGCCATTGCCACAGACGTTGCAGGTAAAAGTCTTCGGACCAACGGCATGGTTTAGAACATGCTTGGCTCTGTTTGTAAGGCTTCGAAACACTTTGCCGCAGTATTGGCAAGGGTATGGACGATCATCGGTATGGTTATTCATGTGCTTTCGTAAATATGCCTTACGCCGAAATGTTTTATTACATAAATTGCAAACGAACTGCCCTTGACTATTACTCACGGGGCTTGTGCTACGCTCAGATTCCAACGGTGGAGACGACGATTTTTGACCTCCCTCGCTCTCGCTTACACTGTCGAACTTTTTGGTTTCTTTTTGCGGTGTAGTTGAAGTGGATTTTTTCTCGTGTGGTGATCGCGGTCGATGCCATCGTCTGTGCGATGCGAGGTTTGCGGGGCAGCTAAAGACTTTATCGCACTCTGGACACCGGTGTTCGGTGTGCTGAATTCCGCTACACTTGTGTTGTGCSAGCGAAAACGGGTCGCTGTACTCCTCGTCACATAGCTGGCAAATAAATTGTGATTGTGGTAGTGGACCCTTTGGCTTTGGAAAATCACTGTTTTCGCTGAAAATAGCAAATTCTTTATGYTCTAACACGGCGGTTTTGGCCCCTCCATGCTCACTTGAATGTCTCTCGTTAATTAAGTTTACCGTTGTATTTTCCTTACTATTTTTCTTCGTTTTTTCRCTCTTGACTTCGGTGACTGGTTGAGTTGGCTTGTGCTTCTTCGGTGAAAGTCCTTTTTCTGGTTTGAACGGCTTAAAAGCACTGTTGCAGCTGGCCGTTGTGTTGGTCGATGTGAACATCGAAGTTAATGAACTTAACTCAGGGAATTTGTCCGATTCGGTCGGTGAATGAATTAGACCAGCAACCGCAGACGAAGTTGAAAATATTCTATTGTCAATATAGTTGAAGTTAGGGCTGTAGTCATCCTCAGGAAAGCTTCTTTTTTCTCCTGCAGCCGTGCGAGGGCTTCTATTTTTCTTGACTAAAAAAGCTCTTGGCATGGTGGTGTAGGTTCGTCTCCGTTGTTCGTTTTTGCCTAAAAATTCCTCTTTTCACGTTGAGCCACTTTTGGAATATATTATCGGCAATATATTCCACCGGTGGGACCGTTATCTTGGTTGAAAATACTTGTTCCTTCGTGTTCGAGCTTTTGCAAGTGTTCACTTGGAGAACTCTGATCGACTGCACAGTTTGTCAACTGGAGTTGAAATATGCTCTCTGTGCTGAGATGTTTTCTGTGTCCGTTGGAACCTCAAGTGCGCTTCATATCGGAAGCGTAAATGTTTTAATTGTACTACTGGCAGCTGCCTGTCCGTACGGTGGTTGTTAAGAGGTTTAAGATCGTCTCATTCAAACGTCACACGAAAAAGCTCCTCCCTTTGTTAAATATGTTATGTTATTGTTGTTCATTCTCGCACGTGTTCAGTATTGTTCTATCGTGGGGTGTATAGCCTGATTAACATTTCATTAAGGACGATCCTGGCTCCACGCACCGAGTGGCCAGGATTTCTCGCGAGGCCGTTCCGCGAGACATACCTGACAATTGCAATTGATTCGAGCTAGTTTCTCTGAATCCACATGCACATTGTATATGTGACTTGTGGTGGCATTCGGTGTAAAATTCGTAATGGAATGGGGTTTTATTCGAGCGAAATGTTTATGCATACATCAAGATTTCCGGCAGAAACACGACCGATAGTCTAATTACGCTGTAATTTGGAACACGTGGCCTTGATTGACAGGCTTCCAAATAAGTCGCCTYGTGATTGGTTAACGACTACGTCTTTTGCAGGACATATGATTGGCTTGAAGAGATATMGAGCAATGTTATTGATTGATTGGAATGATCTGTAATTCAAATAATTTATATGATCAGACTAAGAATCTTGTAGAGTACCGGAACCAACATAAGGCGACACTGCAAAAGCTAGCACATTCTTGTCAAGTTTACTGAAGGATCCTTTACCTATATTATATTTGTAGATTGTCATTTTGGTTGTAATGATCGCCAAAAACAGTGCTCTAATTTTYCTGAAAACTCGCTTAAAGCACACCGAGCTAAAGATCTGAACTACACAAGCCGTTACCATATGTTGCTAACAACCGAAAAAACCCAAGCGAGGATCACTACCGATAGAACACTGATCCAATATACCTTTGATATTTCCTTTTTTTGCAAAAAAACCCTCTTCTTCATGGCTGATAGATTTTAATACACTCGAAAAGGCATAACAAAAAACATGAATTTATTAGTTTAAAGACCAAGGCCACATCAATAAACAACACAATAAAATGCTGATCAAATTGAACAATTTTCAGTCCTTATTTTATAACTTGCTCTATTTATTTCCATGCTTATCGATATTTGCATGGTTAAAGCTGTCTATTTGTGAAATAGGCATAGGAAATTCTTGGCAAACTCTGCAAGGTTTTGCGAAATTCTTAGATCAATATAAACCATCACAGGTGTGTATCTTCTGGCATTTTTAATTTCCTTCAACTTGTATTCTGTCCATATTTTGACGAATCTGACAAATAATACAAAGAAATGTCCATTCACGGAATGTAGATTTACTGAAAGAGTTTACTTGTGTTTTTCAAATCGTGAATTCCTTCTCCTAGACTGATACAGTGTTTGTCGTAATTATATTCCTAAGAAATGCATTTCACAACGGACCTTGGCTAGTCATTAAAATGCATCTTTGTTTCAAAGTTCCATTTAACTAAGGCAAATAGTGAGGGTTAGATTCGGCTGACCTACAKCAGAGTAATTAAGATTGTTTGCTATTTTGCCGTTGATATATTTTATGTGTAAACTCATCTAATCTAGTCCGTATAAAACTGTTTACTTGTTACTTGGTGATTTTCAGACTAAAAAAAATAAGACTTCGGGGTATTTTGGGTCTTCACCGTTGTCTTGTGCACGTTATTTCCTATTTCGTATCCAAATATTCTTAAACTTTCACGAAAACATCGACGTCTCTCACGCAATAGCACTAGGTTTTTCTCCTGAGTACTCCCAGGCCTTGATCATGAATTTTATGGGTTATTCATGTTGAGCGTCTTAAAGAATGTTAACACCGCCGCACTAGGCTAGATTTGTGTAAGTGATATCATAACAGAAAAGAGCAACACGAAAAATTAGTTGGTAAGAGATAAATTATTTAAGGCGTTCGGGGCTGTTTGGCGCGCTTACGGTGAAAGTAATAAATTCAAGAGAAAAGAGCATTACAGCAGGTGCATACACATACGCGCGCGCGGCCAAAAAATRAATTCAACGCCATTTTTGTCTTGAAAAATAATTCTCAATTCAAAGAATTTGAAAGGTAGATTCTTTGTCTCATCTATATTCATGTATTCCCGTTTTGAAGAATGATATTATGCTCTCCCACGGGTGGCTTTAGGGATTTTTTATTACCCATCAAAGTGTGTAAGCGTTGAAATGATGACTAAAGGTCTTTGTTGCTTCGTGTTCAAAGGAATCTATCTAGTTGACTCACCGAAAATATGACCTAATTTTGAAATGTGTTGAAATAGCTTAAGAAAACCATCCTTTTTCCTTATTATCCTTTATAATTTAATAGAAATAGTTTAAGAAAAGAATGCCATTAATATTTAAAGGTAGGAGGATAATTACTAGAATGTAAACGCTTCAAAATAACGTTCAAATGGCTAAGAGTTGCCTACATATAACACAGCGTTTTTGTTCTCAAACAATGAGCTTCTTTTCCACCAAAACACAATTCATTTAATCTGCTATCGTAMTATCTAGATTTTGTATAAGATAAAACACAAAAAAACTTCATCAGCCGAATGTAAACTAAAAATATTCGCTGTTTACAATGTGGTTTGTCCAATGGGTTGGTTGGCCCTAGCGACCAGTCAATCTATTGATTAAATTGGTTTAGGATTTTTAATATTCATCGTATCTAGAAAATAGAAGTACGAGTTTGAAGTCTTTACGTGYGCTATTTAGTGTTGGAAGCGCACTAGAAAGAGTGGAAGTATTTGAATATAGTCTGGTACTTCGTAGAAGTACCACTTTGAATTCTCTTGCAGTCGTCTTTCATTCTTCATGAGCCGACAACTTACAGAACTTAGAAGATACCTTCAGGGTACCTATACAATTCACAACGCGCGCTATCTGAAAAGCTTTCGAATGTTCTATAAAAGTCGCAGTTTGAAAAAGCATTTAAARCTGAGAGGTTGGACTTAATCTGAAAGCTTTACTGATTACTCGGGTCTATCAATAGGCCCAGTACAATTCCCTTATTCTCGTCAAATCATCAAAGAAAAGATGTTTCCTCGGTATTCAAAGCGGCCTTTTCCTTGATATTTCTTGTTTTAGTCCAAGCATTTTCGTTTGAGTTGGGTATTGTCATTGTAATTAGCACTATATGAGACAAGTATGGACACATCTGTGTTCGTTGAATTTTAATTAGCATTTTTACAAACATTTGACCAAGTTAAGTATCTTCACATATACGGTTACTGTTCTTTTCAAACGAGATGTTTTCACAAAATAAGAAAATATGACCAAGTTGTTTTTCTAGTGAGCGCTTGAGCGCTTCCGTTCGTCAAAAGCCCATTATAAGTACGAAATTATACTTTGAACAACAACGACAACAAAAGACGAAGTTACACAAATCTAAGCTAACGTGGCAAAATAATGTCCGATTTTTGTCGAGGAGAACAACGTGCGTAAGCCACGAAAAAAYCATATTTTAAAGACTGTTTTTGAAAGAAGCTAAACTAAATGGCACGTTCATTTATTTCGGTTTGACAATTAGCACAAACTTGCTTTTTTTATTAAATGATAATAAGAAAAATTGAAGTAAAACATCTTTGAAAACAATGGGGAATTTTATCACCGAGGCGAACATCAATTGCATGGACTTCAACTTGAATACATTTTCGCTTTAGAAATGTGTCAAAGGAAGACTTCCCAGCACGCTATACGCATACCTAAATTTAAGCAAGCAATGAATTCTTTGGAATCCAATTTATGTTCAATGGAAGGCAGGGATGCTTTATGAGAAAATAAATAGCTATTGAACTGAACAGTGATGGATGGATTGTAAAGCTCACCCTCATTAATTTCCAGGCGAATGGAAATGCCAGTCGAAAACACTCATCTAAAAACCACAACCGTGTGACAACTTACGGTATTTTTAAGTCGGATAAACTAAAAACAAGCTCTAATAAAACTACACAAAGTCAAATATTCARGTAATGTGTACCTCTCTCTAAATTATTAGTCTAGTTTATAAGCCATGTAAAGCTAGAATATAGCCATTGCAATGGAACGACGGGATGTTTATAGATTAAGTTTGTGTGTCGATATTTCCTAGGGCTATATAAATACAAGCCAATTTAAACCACGGGAGTATTTTCGGGTTAGTCATGAAAGATCGACATTTAAGACATGAAGATTTTCGCTCTTGATTCGTAATTCCGGAAATAGCTTTTTTGTTGAAGTGTTGTTATGAAGTATTGTTATTCTCTTGTGGGAGTGAGAATAAACAATTTTTCAAACAAACGACCATATTTATCAAGTGAACAATAGATTAATATTTTCCGTGTTGTTATCCTACCCTATATGCATCACTAACTAAGCCACACATTAAAAGTCATGTACTTATATAATATCACTTTTCCATTTGGAAAACTGATTGATTCTGCGTCTAATCCAGCAAAATGCCATCAACATAGATATATTCGTTATTTAAAACATTACGGCCAATATACTAGCTAATAACACTTGTTCGTAGCGTTCATTTTTTTAACAAATCGTAAACTCGATAATGACCGGTCAAAAAGCGCTTTCGAAGAGGATAAATGGCTGAGTCACCTACATAAGGGGGCGATAAGCGGGCCGAAATGAATGATCTTATCTACTGAAGAGATTGCCAATCTCGTCATCTCCTGGAACTCTCAGTCGACTACCATATGATTTTCACTTATACCCTCTCAGACAGATGGCGAGCTGGTATCGGTTGCTGATAACTTCAATTCGACTCGATTGCCGACCAAGGAAACTTATCTGAAAGTTTTTTAGAAAGCCTTGACATGAGTATCCTTTAGTGTTGTTCTTCGTTCGCTCTCAGTTKCTATCCTAGAATCTGATATCGGTGAACTGTACTACTGTTCATGTTTTTGACTTGAATKAACAAGGCGCRTATTACAATTCAGCCACGCCCTGTTTCGTCGATGGGTGTTTCCAAGGTAAAGGGCACTCTATCGCCATGAATGCGTATCATGCCTTTAAGCCTTTTGGAAATTAAAAATATA